CCCCCACTGCGGCCCGAGAGGGCCGCCTGCCTCCTGGCCTGAGCGCATCGCCTCAGCCCTCCAGCGTTGCGCCCCGGTGCTCGCAGGAACCTCGGTGAGAGGTGGGGGCCTCTCTCTGTCCGGTGGCTTGGACCACTCGCAGAGGAGGGGGAGGGGGCCTGGGACCCCGGGTGTGAACTTGGACCCTGGCAGTTGGGTGGGATGCGATCTGTGGGGCCCCACCCTGGACTGGAGGGGAGAATCCGTTGTTGGCGCAGGTGCCAATTGGAGCACTTCGGAAGAGAGGCGGGCAGACCTTCTGGAAGAAGAGACATTGGTTTCTGTAATATTGGGGTCTCTTCTGGTGATCCTATCGGATCTGTGATGTCTGCTGGCTTTGCCCACATCCCTCTTGGCCTCCGGCCCTCCACTAGGGGATTCTTTAGCCAACTCTTCAAAGGACAACAGAAAGTATACATATTTGAACACTCCCCATCACTCCTTCTGGCAAGTGACCTGGACTGAGTCCTTTAATCAGCGCAGAAGCTGAACAGTTTTTCTCGGGCAACCACTTTACCTTCATAAGTAATTTAAAGAAAGTAATTTAGGTTTCAACTATCCAGTGAAATTGATATCTATAAAAGCCCTCTTCCTCCATCTCTCCTCCCCCGCTAGCCCAGTACTTCCTTGGCATACCTCCCTCAACTTGGACTCCTTTCCTCTGAAGAAAATACTTCTAAGTCTGGCTGGGCAAGGGGCTGGCAGTAGGGGCAGTGGGAGAGTTGGTGTGTGTGTGTGTGTGTGTGTGTGTGTGTGTGTGTGTGTGTGTGTGGCTATTGCTCTCAGGAGACCTGGATGGGGATGAGGGTGAAAAATGGGCTCTTAAGCAACCTGGTTTAAAGTAAAGATACAAGGAGCTTTCTGTTCAGCCTATGAATTTAGGTCCTGACCTCAGCCATGGAAAGCTCTGCCGAAGACAGGCTGGGTGAACTGGATTGCTCCAAGACAAACAACTACTTACAGTTGGCATGATTTCCACATCTTTAGAAATCATGAGCACATAACAGCATCTGAGGGTGTAGGTGCTGACTGGTGCCAGGCATGTGGCCTCCAGTAGCCCAGGGGATGGCCCAGAGATCGCAGAGCTTTACAAAGAGTGTGTGATTGGAGAGTTTAAAATTGATTCTTTTAAAGTTTTAAAATTACCTAGCATAGGTGAGCATGATGTAATCCCAGCTACTTGGGAAGCTGCAGCAGTTCCAGGCCAGCTTGGAAATTTTAGCAGGACCCTATCTCAAAATAAAATTAAAAGTCTTGGAATATTGTTTAGCATTTCAGTGTTTCAATCTAGCCCCTGGACCCACTAACAATGAAAAAGAAAATTACCTAACAGTTCTTTATGAACAGGTATGTAGTTTCCAAGTCAGTACTCCTTTCAACATCTGGGCCTTCAGGATGTGTTTATGGGAAACGCTTAATAAAATAAGGCTATCATGAGAAGAGATAAAATCTATTCTCTTTGTTTCCAATCTATTCTGTATCCCAAGTGTGACGATTCTAGTTGAATTTTTTAAATTAGACTTTTTTTCTATACTAACCAGAGAAAAGTAAGAAATATCATACTTGGGTTTTAAATTAGAAAAGTATGTGGACTATGGATTTTTGTTTTATTAAAGATCCATTCTGGGCCAGGGATTTAGCTCAGTGGTTCTGGTGCCTGCTTCGCAAGTGCAAGGACCCGAGTTCAATCGCCGGTACCAGAAAAAACAAAAATAAAACAAAAACAAAGATCCCTTCTGGCCTTCGTGGGGAGTTAGCCTGCAGCTAACATTGAATGGGGCCCAGCCAACAGCAGCTCCTTGAAGCCCTTTCCAGAGTCCAGGAAACTGCCAACCAGGACAGTGGTCCACTGCCTCTTTCATCCCTACTCACCAGAGCTGCTCTTCTGTGGCTCTTCCAAGAAAGTGTTCTGGAGGCCCAAGGCCAGAATTTCCCATTTGGGGCAAAAATACCCTGCCTTCTGGTTCCACCCTGTTCCTGCCCATCACCTGCTTGGCTCATCCCTGAATGAGCCATACCCCCCCTCCTTTGTGTTTTTTGTTTGTTTGTTTTGTTTTGTTGGTTTTTTTTGTTTGTTTGTTTTTGTACCTGGGATCGAACTCCGGTCCTTGTGATGCTTTCGAGGTAGGCTGTGGAACCACTGAGCTAAACCCTGGCCCTCCTTTGTGCTCTTGAGTTGCTGCTTTTGTTTTCTTTTACAGAAATGCAATACATTTTTTGGGTTTTGTTTTGCTTTGGTTTGTTTCTTGCAGTGAAATATCGAGTCAGAATGACCTTCTGGAAAAATAAGGTGCCCACATCAGGAAGGAATGGTTTCCCATCTGTGAGACCTTGCACTTTCCAGTCACCCTGTCCACACCCATGGGCCTCTGGAGTGTGGCAGATCTGCATTGGAACTATGTTTCCCTCAAATACTGACCCATAATCCCGATAAAACTATTCAGGCTCTCTGGGCCTTGGTTTCCACCTAGGCAAAGTTGAAGCAAACTTTACTGTTCATGAAATAGGTGAGATGCTTAAATCAATGAATGCACTTAATTCAGTGTTTAGAAAATAGCTATCACTCTACAGTTATTGGCTACTGTTTTATGTCCATCACTTTCGGAAGCAGTTGCTTCAGTAAACCTTCTCCTGGCCTTCTACTGCCCTGGGAGCCCCTCTGTCTATCCGATTGTTTGATAATTGTTGAGCACTTCTTGGTTTTATAATGTCCTTCCTCGTAAATAAGCTCCTTTCCTTTCCTTTGGCTACCGTGAGGTGCTTGGTCCCCAGGTGCAAACCAAGGTCCTGTCCTCTCTGAGTCTCTGGCCCAATCTCTGACTGGAGTCTTCTGCACTGGGACTCAAGGGCTCACCAAAGCAGGGGGGCTGTGTTTGGGCAGCTGTAGGCACAGGTGTTGGCTGACTCGTGCCAGGCCCGCAATTGGCCTAGACGTCTCTGAGCTTTGCGCAGAGCGCTACTAGGCCACAGCTCTGGGATGAAAGTGTGGAGAAGCCCTGAAACAGGGGTCTCTGAAAGGAGCTCAGGCTTTGAATCCTCCCTGCCCCGAGCTTGGATTCCACCCTCTTTACCCAGTTCCAGCCTTGATTAGATCCCTCAACTCTGTTACTATATCCTTGAAATGGGGTCCTAAGGAAAATGAAAAGAGGCGATGTCTTGGAAGAGTTGAGGATGTGGCCTGACTTAGGCTCCAGTGCACTCGGAGAGCGTGGCGCACGAGAGGTGCTGGAGTTACCAGTGGAGGCTGGCCTTCCAGGGAGCCTCTGAGAGTGAGAGGGTAAAAAGGCCCCGAGTGCCACTCCCCGAGAGCCGCAAGAAGCGAGAGAGGATTCGGTGCGGATTCCTCAGGCCCGGCCCAGCCGCGCCGATTAGATTGAGCAGGCATTGCCGTCTGCGTGGAGCTCGACGTGTGTGCCTGAAAGTCTGAAAGTCCGACGGGTCAAGGGACGCGAATTGTGACCTCGAGGGAAAAGTCTGAGTGAAGACACTCGAAGGAATCTCCTCGCAACCGGAAAAAGCCGGCGGGGCCTCAGCAAACAGGTCTTTCCACGATAGACGGTCTTTTTTCAGGGCCCAGAACCACAGGATGATTCGGAACCCGCCTCCTCTGCTTCGCAGACTTTGCGTGCTCCTTTCATATAAGGAACTGACCGCAGCGACTTGGAAAGTTGGCAGGGAAAAGTGACCTTCTGCCCACAAGAAGAGCAAGGCGCCTGCGAGCGCGCGGTGCGCGAGGTCCTCCGGCGCTCCCGGAGCCCGCCGATCGCCGTGCTCCACTCAGTGCGCCTCCCGGGCTCTCCGTTCCTCCGAAATTTTCTGGGCTCTAGCTACAAGCCCGATATCCCTCAGGGCATCCTCATCCCCAAGGTGAAGTAGGCTGAGCACCACCCAGCGCTAGGCGCCAGCTCTAGTACTGATTCGAGCCAAGACCCGATCTAGCGCCCGCTCGCGCCTGCCGCCTCCGGCTCTGTCCAAGCTGCCGAGCGCGCCCTGGAGATTCCAGCTACTGCTGCTCGCGGACACACCCTCTTACGGAAGCCGCGGACTGTAAGAACCAGCGACTGGACTCTGGAGAGCGAGCTGCTGTGCAGGCGGGACCTGAGCTATGGGACTCCTTGTGACCTCCCCCAAACCCGTTTGTCCCCAGCTCTCCTTGGGGACGCGTAGGACCGGATCACACCTTGTCCAAATAGTGCACGGGAAACAAAGCTTCCTTTTCTTTATCGATGTATTTCTTCTTGTATTATCAGTTACTCAAAAAGTTCTCATCTTAGCTAAACCGACGCATATTACAACATATGAGAATTGATGGTCATTTCAGGTCCCACCTACTGTTTTTAATGAGCTGACGGGTATAATTCGCTTGTATCCTTTCCTCTAAAGCTGGTGTCTGAACGCATTCAGTAACATTTATTAGGCTCTTGCCCTACGCTGGGCCCGGCTGGAATCTTTACAGTGCTTGAAAAGTGAAAGCGTTCACAATTTGTATAGGCAATCACTGTTGCCAGTGATAGAGATTCAATTATGAATGAATTGTTCCAGTGAATAGGAGTCGCTGGGGTTCCCTAAATGTCTCCTTTTGAAGGACAAGGGCTACTTTAATTTCCCAAATTAATTTTGGCCTCAGTCTAGCACTGTCACTTCTACACAATCTCTCCTTTAACAAATTCAGGCCAATGAATTTGCGCTTGAACGAAGTTCAAGTTAGTAAAGGGTCCTTCAAATTAATAAAATCTACCTCTTCTTACATTTCCATCAGCTCCAATCAAAATCTGCGTATGTATATATGGGCGCGATTTTGTCTGAGGCTGAATCAGCCCATTTGGTGTGTCTGCATATGCCTCCATGCCTGCATGAGGGCCAGGGAGCATATGCCTGCACGGTCTGTATGTGTTTGTTGCCCTCGTGACAATGATCCGCTATATCTAGGAACTAATGATACCTTCCAAGAAAAATTTTTTTTAGTTCTGGGATTAAACCCAGCACCTCACACATGCCAGGTAAGCATCTACCACTGAGGTACACTCCCCCCCACTATGTACTCTTCCCCTCCCACAGT